CTTGATTGGTCGGGTCAAGTGCGATTTGTGGCGGACAAAGTGACGCTGGGGCAGGTTTTCTCCGAATACTTCTGTTTCCCCTGCCAATCTTCATTCCACCAATTGCTCCACAATCACCCTCACCTATCATCTGGGGCTAGTACAATAGGCCAGAATTGACTGCAGTACAAGGGACTTAGTCCCACCCCACTAGCAAAAAAAAAAATCAGAGGTGAGGTCCTGTATTTTGGTTTACTACCTTTCTGGGAAATAATCACATAAAATTACATATTAAAATATTTAAATCAACTTAAAACGCTTTGTAAACCATAAAATAGTAAATGCATAACCCTAGAGCTAAATTTAATCCATATAAAACAGGTACTCTGAAGCAGAAATGGTAAATACTATTTTCCATCTGATTCGAATAAAGTTACTTTCAGATTTCAGTACCATATGACTACACGATAAACAGATACGGTATACCTAGATGACCACTCATGTCACATTAATGAAACTGGTTTCCTCAGACCCATTTTCAATATAAGAATATTTTCATGTAAAATAATCCTTATTTCAACACATACATTCTGACAATTTAACAACTGTACTCAAATTTCTTTTGTAGCAACTGTTAATTCTGGCAAGGTAACATATGTTGGGTCATGTGACTATATGATTCAGCAGTTTTATGCCCAACAGTCACTGGGATTCTGTTTTGTACTGGAAGAAAATATTTTACTGAGGCAATGGTTTGTAAGAAACACAGGTGATTTACTGTCAGAATATAGAATCAACATTTAATTATTGGTGATACCAGAGACAACTGACTCTGACACTGCAAAAGTGTTAATCCACAGCTTCCAACAGAAAAAATCGAAATAATACATCAAAACCATCCAATTTGCTTTTCCACAAAGTAATCATCCATTATCAATCTAATCTAATCTAATCAATCTAATATTCTATGTTTTGGAATGTTTAAAGCAACTCATTTGTCAAAAAGACCTAAACTTCAGCTGGAGTTCACAGAACAGCCTCTTCCCGTACAGCATCTTCAGGAAAACAATTTGTGGTCGAAAGACGTACATCAGTATTAGAATGTCCATTGATCTCAATGAATCGTAAGGACTTGGCCATTGCTACATCAACATGCTCTCAAATTAAAATCCCCTTAAAAGAACCTTAGATCGCCTGAAGACATTCAGTAAATTGTCACAACAGCACTGAAATGACTTTCAGAAAATTATTTTCAGTAGGGCTTCCAGACATGACAAATGGGTGCACGAAACTAAATGGTGGTTATTATTAAGATAACAAAATAAACTGGAGGTCACAGAAAAGTCCCATTAGTCATCAGTCTTCATACATCAGACTATTTAAAAAAAAAATCATCTCATGAAAGTAACACTTTCTAATAAAATAAAAAAACTTATCACATTCTGAAAAATATTTCCTTAAATATACAGTACAGAATTTTTAAATTCAAAACATAAGTATGCATGATGGGCGAAATCTAGTACTAAATTATTCTCATCAGAAAGGTGCATTTTAGGACTCTCAAAGTTTACAAGACAATGTCAATATCAATTCAACATACTCCTTAAAATTAACATTCTTTAACCCAAACTATCATTTTTTCCTACACCGAACTTCAGGGGGAACATAAATGTGACAACACATCCAAACTCATACCTATGCAATTTTCCCAGGAATCTATAATTATCCATTCACCAAGCATTGCAATGGTTGCACAAATATTTAATATAAAATTTTCAGACATGTTAATAACAACTCACAATATATCACAAGTGAAATTATATTAAATAAATCCATATTTTATGTACCCAATGTACTATGCCTATTTTCCTAAGAAATTACTATAATTAAGAGATTAACTTTTCAAAGAATTGTAAGCGCACAAAATTTCAAAATGTTAACAATCAGTGGTGCCAGTGATTTCCCTGTCACATGTTCCTAAAGGTGCCATACCGTGTTCATGAAAAGGCAACAAAAATGAAATTTGCTAGCATACAGCCCGTAACAAGTCACAGGAAAACTGATCCATTAATCAATACAAATCCTGATGTAAGACCTGAAGCTCTCACGGCGGCTAAAGTTGCTAAAATCTTCTTCATAGCTGTTGTCAGTTGGTTAAAAATCACAGATATTTCAGGGTTCACCCCTGTCCATCGCAAACTTCACTGACATAGCTGATAGCCCAAGAAGACTTTACTAACAAATCCTGAGTTTCACGCTGAATCATGTGACCAACCGACACACATCTCATTTACAAATCCCAAAGAAAGAAACTTTCTTCCTTCAGAATTTGACACAATACAGCAATTATGTATGTACGAATGTACATATGTACATACGTATGTATGTATGTAGGGTGAACACCCCCTTTAACTTTCACTGGCTGGATTTATATCTCACTACTACAGTGCCAAACAACACATTTAAACTTGGCGGCAATGGAAAGTTTATTGTAAACAATATGATGCTATGCCTCCTGTGGTCTGCTGAACCAGCATGTGTTGGCTTAGTCATGCGATGCACAGATAATAAAAATTAATGTTGAAATCCACTGGAAGTTTCACTGTCTCAATCAGGCACAGTGTACATCCAACCTGATGAATCAATTTCCTTTCATAATATAAACATCATATGTCCATACTGTTGTGGACGTAAGACTACTGTTGAATCTCTTCAGCTCTGAAAGGCTCTTAGCAACAAATAACACAGTTAACTTACCTGTACAGTTCCTTTTTACAGACCACAATTATAGTCACAAAGAATTCAATACAGAACCAAAAGGGTACAATTATACAGCCATAAAGAAATAATGTGATTCAAACCAATGATTTTTGTTACTCACAAACAGTAATGAACTAAAAACTGCAAAATACTGTAACAATGGCGATGTCCAAACATTCACGTGATAAGATAGGCTGCATTTATAAGAAGCCAAACAGATTTTCTGTTGTTATAAAAGTGAACAAACTTTCCATTATAGAGATGAAACATTATCTACAATTACAGAACATTACTAAACTACACATTTCTGACTATCATTTCATTTTATAACTTCTGACCCCCGAGGCTCATGTTTTGAAAATACTGTAACATCTCAACATGCTGACCCACACAGGGATCACCTTAAACAGAAAACACTTATGCTGTGGTAGGGAAGTAACATATTCAAAATCAAACAACCACTCAACTGATGACACTGAAGTTTTGTTCTTCCTCCAAAACTATTATAGCATCAAATGGTTAGCACAACTGGTGAATAATAAACTGAAGGGGATTCGGAAATAAGTGGTCATGGAATAATCAAGGCAATGGTCTAGCATCTGCCAGAGAGAGCTGAGAAAAACCATGAAACGCCTCAGTTGGGATAGCAAGTGTCCCAGTGAAGATTCAAACTGGGCACCTCCTAAATACAGCATCTGCCAGAAAGAGCTGAGAAAAACCATGAAACGCCTCAGTCGGGATAGCAAGTGTCCCAGCAAAGATTCAAACTGGGCACCTCCTAAATACAAGTCTAAAGCATTAACCTACATCAACCTACTTTGTTAACAAAGATCTTAAAAGCCAATACTTTGCACATCTGTGACTAACCGATATGGTAAGGATTCATTTTCCCAAAGCAGTAAATATCTTCACTACCCTTCCTGGTTCACTGAGTAGCAAGTAAGAAAATGTCATTCAAAATTATTTAAAAAAATGTTGAAAACATAATTAATTTGAGTTTTCACGAATCTTAACTTAGCGTTTCACCTACAATTTTCTTTAACTGCAATGAAACTCCTACTAACAGCATAGAAAAACTCTGTGTTGTCAATATTTGCAAAACTGTCAACACTGTAATGCTCAAGGCAGATTCACATGCCTTTACTTTATTCTGTATGATAACAGAATACCTTTTCAAATTACCTAGTTACTTTCTTAAAAAAGAACTGCACATGTTTCTTTTTCAGAACAGTTTAGCTGACCCGTGTACCTAAATTAGGTATTCTCCTTCCGTAAAAAACCACTTAACTGAAAAATTCTTCATATCTAAAATAATTTATGATAATTAAATATTCTGTATACTCATGAATGATTAATTTTTTGACAGCTACGAAATTCATGACAAATACTCGTATGGAGTTGACAACCATCTACCCAATATTTCCAGGGTATGATGAACACGTTTAATTAAAAATGTGTGGCCCTCAAGCCATAGATAAAATACTGCTTTTGGTGGGAGATACCCATAATAAGAAAGTCTGGGGTTCTGAAGTACCTAAATCCTCCACAGAAAGGTCCTTTACCACTATGCCACAGTTGATCATAATAGGTGCAACAGAGTAGAAATGTATAGAGAACAAACACACTTCTTCATATATTAAATAAAGCAATAGAATGATTTATATGGTAAAGTCTGCCATTAGCAATTAACTAACCAATCAATTCTTCCAAAGTGCTGGTAGAGAAATTGAATTAAACACGTGACACAGACATGACCATGAAGCATAATTTCACATACATGCACACATGCTAAATTCACCAAAAACTAATAAGATGCTTCATTGTTACCACACACCGAAATACTAGTGACAGAAGTGGAAGACGCTACACAAGACCAAGAACAAAAAAAGTAAAGTTGTTCCTGTGCTTAACTAATTAAGTACTATGCCATGAAGGCGTATGAGGGAGTCGATGTATAGATCCACATTTTCTTGACCTTAGCACTAGTTGGAGACGAGTGGTCACCTTCACACTCTGGGTGCTTTAAGCTCTGAGGAAAGAGCCCCTGGGGCCCACTGGATAGGAGGCTTGGTGGGACCCAGAGTTGGTCTGCTTGATGTGGAAAACAGAAAATTCTTGACCCTACCGGGACTTGAACGCCACCAAGGATAAAACCTAAATGTATTAGGGCTGCACAGGAAGTACATGCGCATTATTCTACGATATTATATGCTATGCTACGCACATGCCAACTTTCATTTACATCAATTTTAGAGACTGACCTGATATAGACAACAGCCCCATTAATATGTAGTCTCTTCCAACCAAATGGCACAGTTATAGTTGGTACCACTGGTTGCACAGGAACAGATGGAGCCGATGGCTGAATCAAATTATTGTTCAGCGCTGCAGTACTTGGAGGAACTGCCATAGCTAACACGATATTGCCTAGCTGCTGTTGCGAGAGTGAAATGGCACCACTGGGGGTTCGCACTATTCCCGCAGCCTGAGGGCCAGACTGCTGTACATTCATACTGCTATTTAGCATCACCATACCCGTGGCATTACTAAGACCAGGAGGGACGACAGTTGGACTCTGATGAACTAAACTACTGCTCCCGCTCGTGACTAAATGAGAGTTATTCACTGGAGTCACATGGTGACTTGCCGCAGCTGCTGACGGTGGAATGAGCAAAGTCAGAGAGTTTGTAACAGCATCTGGTTGACTGTCTGCTGAACTTAAACTGCTACAACTCGATTCAGCTGTTTCTGAACGGACCGAATCACATCTTGGGAAGACAACAGTTCCACTCGTAGGTGTCGACGAACCAGCAGTACCATCACCCCCCATCACAGCCACTATGTTAGCAGCATCTCCACCTTGAGTGGTCGTAATAAAATTAGTTGCCGCAAGAGCCTGAGAGGCTGAGGAACTATTTCCACCACTTTCGTTGTGTGCATTATTCTTTTGGTCAGGCCCACTGAAGAATGTCTGGGCGCACGTAACAGTAACACGCTGTTGTTGTTGATGCTGTTGATGTTGCTGCTGCATAAGAGATTGGGCCTGCGGAGGCACAACGGAATATCCATTGCAGAGTTGCTCGTTAGAACTCCCGATTACAGCTGAAGGTAGCTCAATGCTGCTTGGACAAACAGCCTGCTGTTGTCCAATGTTTGGATGACCTCCTACATTCAAAAGGCCCTTCACAGACGTTCCACTCCCGAAACCTTGGTTCAAAATTGCACCACTATGACCAACATTATTATTGCTATAAGCAATATTATTTATGACATTTGAACCATGACTATGATGGAAGCCATTAGTTTGCACAAGCCCACCTGGGGTGTTTGTCGATGCATAGAAACTTGCCTGCTGAGGTAAGGAAACATTACCAATGAGGCCATTGCTTGCAGGAAAGTCCTGAGTTTTGATTAAAGGAGGTTTAAGATTTTTTATGGGTGCCCCTAAGGGGGCCACTGATTGAATCGAAGGGGTTGATGTAGCTCCTGTTCCACCATTCTGTTGGGATTGTTGCTGTGGATATGAAGCAGTAACATTCTGCTGGTTAACTGCTGTAGCATATGCCTGGGCAGCAAAATTATCATTTGACACATACACTACAACATTCTGCACATTTGGTTGTTGTTGGTGGTGCTGAATGTGATTTTGAGGAGGCTCAGGCTTGCCAGCCATCGTCTAATGGTATTGCCAACACAACAGCCACCACCATCACTGACACACCACATGTACATAGGCACGCCACTACTTCTGGTAAACTCTGAAAATAACAGAAAACACATATTAGTAACATCATAACCTACAAATTTTTCATATGGTAAATCCATAATCACTAAACTGTTTAAAAATAAAATTTTATACAGCTTTTATTGACTTCCTGAAATTAGCACAACTTTCACTAGCACTTATATTTAAGTATACCTTGTACTCCTTCAAATAACATACATAATTTCGCTAAAATACTGAATAACTGTCAATAAATACCATTAATATAAACAAACACTTGGAAGATATAGTCTCATTCTGGTTTACTCTCAAGTAGGTGCCAGTCCTGAAAGAATCAAGCTTGCTACTTTTGCGTAACATAAATCACGTAATGAGTACACTTCATGTTACTTGTCACAAATACGTAGATTTATACCTGCATGACGTATTTGATGCATATGATTGTATTTCCGGGAAGATTTTCCTTCCTGACATTACACTTATACCAATATGCGCAAGTACAAGGGCCTGCCCAGGTATTCCACTGTTGTTTTGATATCAATGTCATCAACACTGCATCCCGTAAACTGCTCAACACCTGCGCTAATTCACTTCTGTTTTCAACCGTTTCCTTTAAAGTGTTACACTAAGAAAACAAACACTTTGTTTACTGACACCTTAAAATTACATATTTGTTCTGAATTCACACAAGAGGCATAATTAACTACAATACGGCAGAATCCCTGCTTTCCCTCCACAATATTTTCGCATATGTGATATCGGAAAAATATGGTTCCCTTCCTTCACTCCCAGAATTCCTTGCGGTATCTCGACAGCTTTTAAGGTTCCATGATGCACTTCAATAAAACAACTGAAAAGTATTAAAGCGTAATCAAGGCAGCGTTCATGAATTAACAAATTATTACAAACTTTTATTTTTATACATAAGTTCTAACTGGGTGAAGTTATATTATCTGTCTTGCTACAACAAAGGGAGTAGAATGTTAACAGTTCTAAATATGCAATTTGCTTGGTTAGTGAGAAACACGGTAATCGATTTGATGTCTGGATTTGAACACAATGGAAAGCAACTGTATCCTTTTTAGTGACTTTTTGAAGATGGTTAGCTAATCCAACACGAGAGTGAAGCACAAGCGAGTACGGGCATCAACAGTTACAAAGAGGATGAAATATTGGAGAGGACATTTGTGAACATCCCCGTAAACTCTTTGTTAATGGTGGTCAACATGGCCGCAGTGACGTCACGTGGCATTACTTCTGCCATCTCTACGCACATATACCTAAACTAAATTAGAAATGGCCACCAGCACCGACAGCATGATCAATAAAATAGAATGCTACTATACCATTCTATGCGTCTTCCCCCCTCCAACCGTTCGGAACCACAAGTTCACACGAAAAAAATCAATATGGCGGATTGTGTGGAGAGCTGTATTAACCGCGCTACAGTATTAATTACAAATAATGATGAACCGAGTGAAGTAACGTGTATTTGCTGTGCAGAGCTAGAATTGGAATTGGAAAGGACTCAAATTGAACTCAGATCAACTCAAAAAATAGTTGAGTTGCTACAGGAAGAGACACGTAGTATGGAATTAGAGGTTATGAGCGGCACAGTCGGTGTACGTAAGCAAGACAGTAGAAGTGTCTTCCGTAATGAGGGATATAAATTGACACATCAAAGACTGCAACAAAGTGAATCTACAGAAGAAGAAAAAGTTAAGTGTAATGACAATAATGTGATATGTTCAAGACTGGAACGAGATAACCAGCAGGATGAGCAGCTTCCAAATTTAAGTAGTAATAGTATAAGAAACGGGCAGAAAATATAAGAGAAAGTAACTTTCATCCGTTAGAGAGTTGCGTGAAGAGGAAGGACCAAGGAAAAAACAAGAACAGAGTGTTTCCTCGTCGCCCAAGTAATATGGCTCATCAATTTAAGACATACTATCAAGAGGTTAATGATGACCTATTATGCGACCAAAGTGTCAATTATATTCCAACTATTGTTAATGGACATTTAAACTCCAATAATCTGTCTCCTGCAAGTGACAATATTACTATTAAGGAGAGTCATGCTAGAAATGTAAAAAATGTAAATATAAATAGTGATAATTCAAAAAGGGTGAAACATAAAATAAGAATACTAGGTGATAGCCATGCACGTGGACTGGCATCTGAGTTGAAGCATAGGTTAAATCAAGAATTTGAGATACAAGGGGTAATAAAACCTGGATCAACATTGGAAAAATTGACAAATAGTGTAAGCTCAGACTTGAAAGAATTAACAAAGAAAGATGCCTGTATAATTTGGGGAGGTACAAATGACGTTGGCAGAAATGAAACTAATATTGGTATTCGTTCACTACATGAGTTTATAAGTTGTCATCAACATACTAATGTTATTGTTTTAAAAGTTCCACATAGATATGACTTAGCATCTAATTCATGCATCAATGAAGAAGTAAAAACTTTTAATAGGAAGCTTGATAAATTAAAGAAGGCTCATCAAAATCTTTTTGAGGTCAGCATGGACATGAATAGGGATTTATTCACAAGACAGGGATTTCACCTAAATACTCATGGTAAAGAGCAGACAGCAAGTGACATCATCTCTGTTTTAAGTAATTTGTTCAAAGTAAAGAGAAAATCTCCCATTACTTTAATGTGGAAGGAAGAGGATCTGGATTGTAATGGTAAAGGTAATGGATTAAATGGTAAAATAAATAATGGAAAATCGGTTAAGGTGATGGCTAAATTAGGATCAACTCGTCAATCAAATAGGATAAAAAACTCAACATCTGCAAAACAGAATGATTTTTTATGGTCAATGTAAACCAGAATGGTAGCAATAATTCTAATAAGTTTGTCACACAAACTAATGATTGTTCAGAAATTACCCAAGATGGAAAAATCAATTCATTAGTAAACAGCGAAAACCCTAAACTATTTTTAAAAATTTATCATCAAAACATTTGTGGTCTAGAATTTAAAATCGATGAGTTACTGGCTTCCTTGCATCCAGATTTACCAGATATCTTGTGTATATCTGAACATCATTTAAGTTCATTACAAATTCAGCTTATTTCACCGGAGGAGTATAATCTTGGTACTGAATTTTGCAGACAATCCTTCCATAAAGGAGGAGTATGTATGTATATTCATAAGCGGTTTTCCTTCTCAGTAATAAATATAGCAAGACATTGTAAAGAAAAGGATCTAGAAGCATGTGCTTTAAAATTGAAATTATCATCCATAAATGTTTGTATTATTACTGTGTATAGATCACCTAGTGGAAATTTCCAGTGCTTTTTAAATGGCTTAGAAAATATTCTTAAAAAAGTTTACAAATCAGGTATCCATCTAATAATCTGTGGGGATATAAATATAAACTACCTTAATGAATCTAAAGAGAAAAATGAATTAAATAATTTATTAAATTCATACAATCTTGTAAGTATAATTCATTTTCCCACAAGAATTACTAGCAATTCAAAAACTACCATTGATAATATTTTCCTTGATTCTACCAAATTTGTAAACTTTGTAACCTCCTCATTATCAAACGGCTTATCAGATCACGACGCCCAGATGTTAGAAAT